ATCAGTTTAAGCAAGGTTAAATAATAATTTCCTCACAGACTCTTGGAACTGAAAACAATTCTAGGGGTGAGCCAGTAGTAACCTCTCATATGACAGGTGAAGGGAGAAAGCAAAACAGAAAAGGCCCAAGGAGAGTAAATCATCTGTCAATTAATTTGCCAACTAGTTCACTGTTTCATATGGCTATCCATAGCTTGAATTGCTTCCTTTGAAAACTGCCTGTTTATACCTTTTGACTATTTATCAATTGGGGAATGACACTTATTCTACAAATTTGAACGAGTTCTTTATGTCTTAGAAATGAGACCTTTACTACAGAAATCTGCTGCAAAGCCCCCTCCAATTATCTTTCAAATTTTAGCTCCATTTAGCTCCCATAAGAAACTTTTAAAAAATTTACATAATCAAAATTGTACATTTTATCTTCCATGAGCCTCTCTATCTCTTGTTTGGTCCATATTGTGCCACATATAAATCTGAATGGTAATTTCTTCCTTGCTTCTCGAATCTGTTTATAATGTCACCCTTTACCTTTAAGTCGTGTACACACTGTATCTTGGTATAAGGTATGAAACACTGGTCTATACCTAGTTTCTACCAAACTACTTTCTAATTTTCCCAGTAGTTTTTGCTAAGTAGTTAAGTTTTTACCCCAGTTGCTAGAGTCTTTTACTAACCCTAGCATACTGTTTATTTGCTTCTCTATATTTTATAATTCATCTGTTCCACTAATCAAACTCAATTTCTTAGCCAGCAAAATATATTTTTGATGATTACTGCTTTGTGGTATAGACTGAGATCTAGTATTGCTGGGTCTCTTTCCTTTCTAGTTTTTTTTTTCCATTAGTTTCCCTTGAGATGCTTGACTACTTGCTCCTCCAGACGAATTTCATTATTATTTCTTTCTAGCTCCATAAAGTAATCCTTTGGTTCATGGGGCAATGAATAAGTAAATTAAGTAAGGTAGAGTTGTTATTTTTATTAAGTTGGCCAGCCTACCTACAAGCAATTAATACCTTTCCAATTATTTAGGTTTGTCTTTATTTCTGTAGAGTGCCCTTTAGTTATATTCATATAGATCCTGCCTGTGTCTTGGCAGGTAGATTTCTAAGTATTTTATGTTTTCTGCAGTTACTTTAAATGGAATTTCTTTTCTACTTAATTTATAAGTAGCAACTTCGTTGAAGTTAGTGTTTTAATTAAGTTTTTATTTGATTTTCTAGAGTTCTCTAAGTAAACCACAACATCTGCAAAAAGTAAGCATTTGATTTCCTCTTTACCTATCCTTATTTCCTCAATTTCTTTTTCTTTGTTTTTGCTTTTTGGTGAGGCAATTGGGGTCAAGTGACTTGCCCTGGGTCACACAACTAGTTAAGTGTCAAGTGTCTAAGGTCGGATTTGAACTCAGGTCCTCCTAACTCCAAGGCCAGAGCTCTATCCATTGTGCCATCTACCTGCCTCTCTTTTTCTTTTCTTATTGCTATACTTTTAGAGTACTATATGAAATGGTGGTGATAATGGACATCCTTGCTTTACCCTGATCACACTGAAACAAACCTTTTTCCTTTTTTTGGTCACATTTCATCGTCTTTTCAGTCATCATCCATCCTGACACCTCTGAAGCATCTGGCCTGTGACAACTCTCTCCTCCTGGACACTCTCTTTTCTGGACTTTCATGACTCTACTCTCTTGGTTCTCCTCCTACTTGGCTAAAAACTCCTCACTTTCCTTTGCTAACTCATCACCTATATCATAGTCCAAGGCTCTGTTCTGGGCCATCTTTTCCTATTCACTTTTCTTTTAATGATTTCATCAACTCCCTAAGAGAAGATATTTATTGTCAAGACCATTCAATGAATTCATCAAGTGTTTACTGAGTGCCTACGTTAATTCTGAAGTTCCACTCAAAGAAGAAAAGAAAGTGCTCACTCATATGACAGCAAAGTACTGTAAGGCAGCCAATGTAATAAATAGTGGTTTTCAACCTGTGGGCCAAAGACCCTTTTGGGGGTGCCTTGAAGAGTTAACTGCAAAGGATCCAAGAACCCCCATGCACATCAAGAATTGCCATTTTGCTCTTTTTTCAGCTTCAACAAAAATATAGCATGAATCAACAATGGATTTTATGCCTACGGCTTTATGTTATTGATGCTTCATTTGTGTATAAGATGGAAAATCTGTTTTTTAGTCTCTGAGAATGAAATACAACCTTTCTACTTTTGCAAATAAAAATATTAATAATGCATAAAATATATGTGCTATGTTTTTAAAATTATAATACATACAATTTATCGGGAGTTGTTACTCAATACTTGGTAGCTTTTGGTCATCTTTAATCAAAGGTTAGATGACCACTTGTCATGTATGTGATAGAGAAGATCCTTGTTCAGGTATGCATCAGACTAGATGACCTCTGAGCTCCCCAGCTCTGAAATTCTTCAGTGATTTATTTTTTTAATCAAAGGGTACTAACTACAACTATTATCTAGTGGCACTTGAAAAATCTTTTGGTGTTCAAAAAGTGTCCTCAAATTCAACAAGGGTGAGAATCGGTGATCTAGAAGAATGATTTGCTCTCCTTAACAATGTATTCTCGGTTTCTTCTCTCCTCTTTTATCTCCCATTTCTCCCCAACCTAGTTTTGTTTTAGCAATTTTCTTCTGTCTGGCTAGGCCTGCAACAAACAACATTGATAACTTTTTGCTGCTCTCTAGTGGTAAATGCTGTAATTGTTCCCCTCCCCCTCACCAAGTTGATAGGTCTGAAGAAAGAAACCATAGAAAAAATGTAGTAATAATAGGCGGTGTTATATAGTAATAACAGCCTCCTCTACCCCAAGAGGGTTATCATTACTCTAATGAAAAAATAATTATAAGAAAAAAAGGAAGCCCAGCAGAATTTAAGGAAATTTGATAAAGTTTATTTTGAATGACCTCTTAGGAAATTTTTAGGTATCTTTTAGATAATTTGAAGAGATGAAGAAGTAACAGGAAAAAAAGTTATTTTCTAAAATTAGTAATACTTAAATTATGTAATGTTTTTGAACTGACTACTAATTTTAATCTATTCTCTGCTAAAATGAACTGGCATTAAAAGGGTTGGGAGACATTTTAAAATAAGGTCAATGAAAAAAGAATGCAAGCCTACTTGTTGGGACATACATTACTCCTAGCTTCATATTTGTTATTTGCCATCAAGATCAAACTTCACAGAGCAGTTATAGATGCATATTTGGTTTTTTTTTTAACAAGTTGTCTGGTATCCATTAATTGGGACCAAAATTGTTTTGCTGACAGATTTGAAAATGTGCCAAAAGCTCACCTAGTTATTCATACTGAAGATATCTTGTGATCAGCAGAAGCAAACAAGGCACGTATCACCACAACCACAAATTTACTATTCCATCTGAAAGATTATTTTAGTTGTATCTAAAGGAACATGCAACCTGACATGCTTTTTAGCAGTAAAATGTCATCACTTATCCATTTCTTTGGTTTAGCAACTATAACTGTATCAAGTAGATTCAAAGACTGATTTTTATCTAGAGTGAAAACTCAAAAAACAATTATCCCAGCTTGAAATTAAATAGGGGACACATACTCTAGTCCCCAGATTGCAAACTTCACTATGAGGATGCCATCTGGTAATAACAGTAGCTTATTTCTGGTATTCTATTTACCTATGAACTCTGTGCGCGCACGCGTGCGCGCGTGTGTGTGTGTGTGTGTGTGTGTGTGTGTGTGTTTAAAATAAAATACCACTAGATTAAGAATCTAAAGGAGCAACAGCACACACACACACACACACACACACACACACACACACTCAAATTCCCACCACCAACAGACCAAATTGCACCATGAATCTAAGAGCTGGTATAGGCCTTCAGAATGCTCTGGTATAATTCTCTAAGAGCAAATAGAAGTGCAGAGAAGTTATGACTTAATAAAATTTATACTGCTAGTTAGTGGCCAATTTAAGCCTTTCACAGAGGCCTCCCTGACTCCCAATTCAGGGCTCATCACCGTAGACGATACTCTGCTTTGGACATGATGGGTGGGAATACTTCAAAGATGATTGGGAAACTGAGCAGCTGCAAAATAATAGTAATCATAGCTACTCTTTTGGAAACTTAGGTTGGTGAGTTTTCCTTTCTCCCAGGAAACAAGACCGAGATGATAAAGCAATTAAATTGTTAGCTAAACAAATGTTATATCCCAAAAGGATGTCAAAATCAACCAATGCAAACGCTATCTTCTTTTAGAAAATCCTGGTTGTAGGAGGAACAAATATATCAACCAGGGATTCCCACCATGAAACTGGTCAAGGCTAATTCTTTCCCTAAAAGTCAAGGAACTGGAAGGGGAGAGGTAGAGAGAGGGGATTATATCTAAGTTCAAGCCCTGTCCTGGTGGCCCAAGGATATAAAAGAATCCAGGTCATTTGGAGTTAATATCTTTCAGATCTGATGAATATCCCATGGCCAGCAACTTAACTCATCCTGCCCAGGTGACCAGGTGTGTTTTGGGGGTGAAGGTATAAGGTTGGGAGGGAGAGATTATCTGAGCCAAGAGCTATAACCCTGTTGAGTATTTTTCCATGCAACAGTTAAGTAAAATTTCTATTGTTAACTGCTAAAGATTCTACAAGTGTCTCATTTCAGTGCAATCTTGAACTTGAAATGTCAAACCAAACTGTGTCAGGCCTAACCTATGGTATGGTGATTACTCAGAAATAACTGTGGACAAAATGTTGGTCTATTGTTCAAGGTGTCACTTTCTCATGTTACAAGAACAAAGAATTTATGAGCTTTGTGAAGCAAGCCTCCTCTATACATTAGACTAAAAACAGCATCAGGGCAGGATTGCAACTTCTAATTACCTTGTATCTTGAACAGTGCCTAATACAGTCCTCTAAACACAGAAGATACTCAGTTAATATTACTAATTGATGAAAAGAAAATGAACACAGATTATTATTTTTTCTGTTATACTGTTACCTTATGGCAGTCTCCTCCAGCAATTATTTCCTGAATATATACCAAGGGCCCTTCATTGCGGTTAATTCCTCCCACGATATTCAGGCCTAAGCCTATTTCCTTGGTAACCGTTATCATCTGAAATGCAGGGTCCCTAGGAAAAAATAAATTAACACTTGCAGATCAGCCTAGAGACCAAACAGGCATACCTTTGAGTTAACTGTTAATTCACATTCTTAGACTCAGTCAGTCCTTAGACCATCAGGAGACACTTGCAACTAGTTTCAATAATGTGGTCATACTTCAGAATCCATAGATTTCCAGGGCTATATTTTAAATTTCTCTTTAAAATAATTAAAATGTCAGGACTTTAGGATTGAATCAAATTTTAACAAGTTATGATTTATACAGGTTTAATGAGAACTAACTGGAAGAACTGGCTTTAATTGAGTTTAGGAATTAAAAAGAAATATTTCAATGTCATCAAATGTCATTAAAAAGTAGACTGATTGCTAGTTGGAGCAAAATAAATAAGATCTCCACTTAAAGTATGGCATAATGCAAAAATGCCCATGAACGTAAGGACTTTGAAGGCACAAAGTATTCATTTTAAATGAGAGTACTTCACAAGAAACAGGGAAAATAATTATTCCATTATAGAAAGTTGGTGCATGCCTGTAATCCCTACTACTGGCTGGGGCTGGTGGATCACCTGCCCTCATATAGAGAAGGCTGAAGAAGACTGAGTGTCCACAATAATTCAGACACCAATATGGCAAGCCCCCAGGATTGAGGGACTGTCTAAAGAGAAGGCAAAATGGTCCAGGTCAGAAACAGAGCAGGTCAAAGCTCCTGTGCTGACCAGTAGTGATGTCAGGTCCATACATGGCTATTGCATTTCTAGCCTGGATGAGATAGGGAAGACTCAGTCTCAAAAAAAGGAGGAAAAAAGTGAGCCTTCAAAGAACTAACTATATTTTATAAAATTATGAAGCTGGACATATGCTCACTCCCAAAATACTTCATAAGAGTCTCAAAGCCACGAAAAAGAATTTGAATAAAGCCAGATGAAAGACTCAAGGCTACTACCCCCACAGAAGTGCAAAAATGGAGTATAACTGGGTTGAATAAGGACATTTAATAAGAAATGTTTTAGTTGATATCAAAGTGCAAAGCTCCTATCAATTGGACTTCCATAATTATCTTCAAATAAATCGGAAGACAATTTCAATTTGCTTTGGAAAATTAAATCTACTCTGAATCACAGAGCTCATTATATGCAATGAAAAAAAGTTTTTTTCTTTCTCTTTTTTTTAACCTAATTTCTGATGTCAGATCATGTCACTGATATAAAGCTTACAAGGGCTCTAACTTGTCAGAAGTACAGGTTTGGCTTTTATTGTATAGATGAGGAAGCTGGAGCTTAGAGGTTAAATGACATCCTTAGGGTCACATAGTTCTGACTCCAAGAAGACTGGTCAGACATATTTTCACTACTCTAAAACAAAACAAAACAAATATATAAAGCTTATGTCTTTTTAAACCACATAGTAAAATTGCAAGAAAGCGAATTATTTTTTAAAAAATGACTGCCTATTTTTTGGGGGGAGGGAGGGTGGGAATCCTTACTCTATGAGTCACTAATACCATGCTAGATTTATCTATGTTGCAAGAAGATTCTGAAGTGGAGGGGATGGGCCAGGAAGCTATACTGTCACCAGGCTCTTTGGATGCCAGGATATTGGCTATGGACCGCTGGAATGGGCAGCAGGGAATGAGAGGAAGAGGGAAGTGAAGGATGAAGGGAGTTCATACAGTAATGGTTTGTATCTCAGATTCTGCTTTGTTATAGCAGGGATTTATAAAGTTAGAAGGGATCTTATGGACCACTAGTTTGAACCCCCTAATTTTACAGAAGAAGAAACTGAGGACTTGTAGGCTTTGGTGACTTGCTGAAGGTCACAGAGGTGGTAAATAGCAAAGATGGTATTCAAGTCCAGGTTTCCCGACTCCAAATCCAGTGACCCTACACACTGCAGAAAAAACACTGTGGCTTCTTACGAAAATGTAACTCTGCACCCTAGTGGAAGAATGAAGGATGTACATCAGAATGTTCTTTACATACATTATTGCTTTAGTAAAGAATTTTTAAGGTGGTAATTATTATTAGATAATATTAAAGTGGGCTGTTATTGTTAAGGCAACCCACTGTAATGATAGGTAATGATTTGGTGACAATGAGATAATATGTAGAAAAATGTTAACTGCAAAGTGCTATAAAAATTTAAGTAGTTATTGCTATCACTAACTAATTACTGTTATTAACAAATTATAGCAGCTAATAATAGCAACTAATAATAACTGTTAATTAGTCAATTGCTAATTAACAACTCTTGGGGCAGCTAGGTGGCGCAGTGGGTAGAGCACTGGCCCTGAAGTCAGGAGTACCTAAGTTCAAATCTGGCCTCAGATCAAAAACTTGACACTTACTAGCTGTGTGACCTTGGGCAAGTCACTTAACCCCAACTGCCTAAAAAAACAAACAAACAAAAAAAATAATTAACAACTCTTATAATAATTGTTATCAATAACAGTGGTAGAGTGCTTTGCTATTTTACTGTTTGTTATTAACAAATTATAGTAGCTAATAATAGTAACTAATAACTATTAATCAGCTAATTACTAATTAATAACCTAACAGTAATTGTTATCAATAACAGAGGGATACTGTTCACATATACTATCTCTCTTTCACCAAATATCTGTTTGTCTAAATGGAAACTGCAATATTTACTGAACTGTAATTCTTTTTTTTTTTTGATAAGGGCAATTGTGGTTAAGTGACTTGCCCAGAGTCACACAGCTAGTGAGTGTTATGTGTTTGAGGCCGGATTTGAACTCCACTACAGAGCCAGTGCTCTATCCACTGTGAACTGTAATTCTTATTAAAATACTGAAAGGAACAGGTACAGGGTTTGGACCTGTGATTTCAGTGGTGTAAGGAACTCCCAGAGAGGAAATTCCCTCTACCAATGCAGGTCAGTACCTTCTTAGCAACTTACAATATTAGAGAAATGCCTAGAACACTGAGCTTGTCACTAAGTGACTTGCTCAGGGTTTACACATCCAGTATATCAAATGTATTCAAACAAATGACTTGAAAAGAAGCTTGCAGAATTTGGCAGTGAAACATACTTAGAGATATTTACTAGATTATGCCTACAGTGACTAGAGGAAAACAAAAAACTTAATTCGGTTGTCATTATTTCAAGCTACATTAGTTTAAGAAAGACAACAAATTTTAATGCAAAAATTACATTGCAACTTGACTGAAGGCTGTTGCTTCAGAGCTATTCCCATTCGTGCCTGTCATCATGGTATCCTTTGAATTTAATGTCTATGAGGACCTCGCTATGATCCTGAAGAAATTGTCTCAACAGTTTTTCCTAAAAGAGAAAAATTGGAAAACAAGCCATCAATCACCAGATTGATCCAAATCATTGCCCTAAATTAGACTTTGCCTTTGCATAAAGTCACTAGGTACATTTGGTACAAATACACACACATATGTATATGCGTACATGCTTGTGGACGGATGGATGGTATATATGCTTGATGTATTTTGGGCTCTGGCATTTCAGTGAGTGCCTTTAACATTTGGGAAGTGTGAACGAAATCTCTTTCTGTACAACTCCCTACGATGGAAGGATGCAAATCAACCTGAGCTAGCTATTCCAGTTTTCACTGGTGTCACACGTACAATTCTTTAAAGTCAGTCTTAGGGAAAGAGTTGGTCCTCAGACAAGTCAGTTGTCAGGATACCCACAGGACTTTTGCACATTTCAGTGCTGGAAAACAGATAAATGTCCAATACTGACTCATTGGCTAGAGATGGGATAGATCAGGTGTCAAACACTGGCCACAAAATCATAAGTACAGCCCAAACCAGGTTAAAATACAAATGAGAAACACTGAACAAAAATAAAAATACAATACAACAATGATATTAATTGGGGGTTCTCTAAGTCAAAATGTAGCCACAGGATCCACTTCTATTTGAATTTGACACTACTGGTATAGACTATAGAAAAACTTCTTTCACACCCTGTACTGGTCACTCAAGCATTTCCACCTGCTTTATAATTTTTTCCACAGGATAATGAAAGAATTAAAAGTGTATCTGTTTATATTTAGTATGTTTTTATTTTATTACAACATAATGAGGTGAAGAATGGGTAATTACCCATAGAAACATCAACCTTTCTTCTTGAATATCGGACAATATAAAATGTCACATAGGTTAATTCTATTCTAATATTATAAAATATGTTTCTCTAGAGAGATTTTTCGAATTGGTTGTGGCCCTTGGGCATTATCTAGTTTTAATCAAAGACAGGATAATGCTTTCTTTTACAGAAGAATTCCTTTAGTTGTTTCCTTAAAGTCGGCAGATCATTTGTTAGTTAACTACACCCAGTGTCCCATGAGATAGGACTGCCTTCCACAGAAACAAGATGAGAATGCCTGTTCCAAACCCACAGGCCTACTCTGTTTCAACTTATCCTTCCCATCCTTTGTCTTCTCACTGTAGTTTAACGTTTCTAAAATTCTCTGTTACTTGGGGTGTGGAAATCTATCTTACCCTACAGGAAAATAAGAGGGGAAGGGGACAAGAGGGCAAGGGGGTTGATAGAGGGGAGGGCAGATTGGGAGAGGGGATAATCAGAAACAAACACTTCTGAGGAGGGACAGGGTCAAAAGAGAGAATAGAATAAATGGGGGGTAGGATAGGATGAAGGGAAATATACTTAGTTTTTCACAACAGGACTACTATGGAAGTGTTTTGCGTGACTACATATCTATAACCTGTATGGAGATGTTTGCCTTTTCAATGAGGGTGGGTAGGGAGGGAGGAAGGGAGAAAATTTGTAACCCAAAGTTTTAAAAACACATGTTAAAAATAAAAAAAAATTTAAAAAGAAAAAAAATAAATAAAATTCCCTATTATTTGAAGAAACTGGCCCCACCACAAAGTACAGGGATGGTGAACTTAGATGTCAAACATGTCTTCAGTATGCATCAGGATCTGCTAGGGTGTGAGATATCCTTGGCAACTTTCCAACTCTAAGAGAGCATGGTCTGTTTAAAACTTAAATGTTCATTTTCACATTGGGAGTTAGATAGTAATGTTTAGGGTCATAAAAGAGCAGGCTTAAGAAATCCAAAGACAGCTCGAAACTGTCATCTCCAACACCCCCCATTTTCAACTTTCTCCCTAGATAGGATTGGGAGGCAGCCCACCTCAGCTCAGCAGGACCCCTAAGACTTAGCACGTCAACACTCAGTAATTTTGTGTGTGTGTGTCTCTATCTGGATATATGGGCTTTATCTTTGGACACCTGCTGAGGCACAAGCTGTTATTATTTCAGTGAGTTCTTTTTCCTTTTTTTTTTTTTTTGACTGAAATGAGGGAAGGGTGGCTTTGTCCCAGGCACCAACATGGACACACTTTCTCTGTGAAGAGTATGGGGTTTTTCTTCCCTGGGAGCAGCAGTTCAGAGATTACTGTTTCCTCCTACTTCAAAGGTTACCTGGAAACCCTTATTCCCACAAGGGTTTGAAGGGAAAGTAGGTGATGGGAGAGGATGAGAAAGGAGGTAAAGGGATCCATCAGAGGTCACAGATGAATGTCTCTCCTCCAGACATATGTTGCCTGTGGTTGCAAGAACACCACTTTCGTTTACCAGAATGCCACCTCCTTTGTGCCCCAACTAAATCTGCCCAAAGTGCAGGAACCAACTAAGCTTTATTAGATAATACCAATGCCTTTCATTTGTAGTATTTGAAACATCTCAATATAGTCGCTGATAGATGTGCCCTTGATGCTATTCAAAGATCCAGGTACTAAATAAACTCCAAGTGATATATAGAATGACTACAACGACATTATGAGAAACCTAATTAACAATGAAAATTTCTGCAGCAAAAAGATTCCTTTGAATTGAGGCCATTGAAAGATCTTTAAAAATCATCTAATTTTACGGAAAACACTGAGACCCAGAGAGATAACGGGAATTGCTAAAGGTAATCTGGCTAGTCAAGGACAGGATGCGGACCTAGTTCTCCTGACCCCACATCGCAGTCTTTCCATTAAAGCAGACAACCCTGTACATGGAAGGCAATGAAAGTGAGCACTTGATCCTCGCAGGCCTGAGGCCTCTGAAGGGCTGATGGGACACTGAGGCAAAGACAGAAAGAATTGCTTTTCAGAACACTAGGGTTTTCATAAGTGAAGTTTAGACCATGAGGTTCTAGAAAGGGCTGTGATATGTGCCTAGCAGCCTTTCTAAACCAAGTAACAACATCTGGGGCTTGATCCAGCATCTGGGGTGCTGACTTGGGCATAGGACTGTGGGCAAGAGGGATTAAGAGGGTTTAGTCAGAAAAGGGAAATGGTAACTCAGATTAAGTCCTAGTTGCCTCTACATTCACATGGGATGGAAGTGCTTACTATGTGCCAACCACTTTCCTAAATGACAGGGACACAAATAGAAAGGGAAGATGGGCCATCCCTCAAGGGAGACATGTCATAAGTGGAGGAGACAGCACATAAGGAAGAATCTAACTGCAGGGCTGACGGCGAGACCTAGGAGCCCTTGGCTTCATTGTTTGGAAAGGGATTCCTGGTAGGATCTACGCAGGCATAATTCAGACTGTAATGGAACCTTACTATGCAGAAAGAAATGATGAACATGACAAATACAGAGAATCACATGGAAAGACTTTTATAGACTGATACAAAGTGAACTAAGTAGAGCCAGGAAAACAATAAACACAACGACCACCAGAATGTAAATGGAAAGAACAACCCTCAAAAAACAAATGAAACTGTACATTCAGAAATTATAAAGACCAGGCTTGGCACCAAAGAAGAGATGTAAGAAGATATCAGCCTGGGCTCCTTGGCAATAGTGGGGGTCTGTGGGTATGGAACGTCACTCTAATGTCAAATTGTTTCAATGCGCTGACTAGTTTTGCTGATTTTTAATTTTTTTTCCTTTAAAAAAATCTTTGTAATAACAGATTCCTGAGGAAGGGTAGAAGGTGGAATACTGGGGGAAATATAGATAATCTAAAAATAAAGGACATCAATAAAAATCTATTTTTTTAATTGAAGAAACTGAGGTCAAGGGAGGTAAATGATTTGCTCTAGGTGATCAGACAAGTTAGTGACAGAATCAGGACTAGAACTTGGGTTTGTCTCTCCGCATTGGGTTCAGTATCATTATATCACACTATATCACCATGGAAAAGCTAGTATGAATTCATTGGCTTAAAAGATATGGTAGAAACTTTAATTTGATAACATCATTTTTGTAGAATTCATTTGCAAACATTGTAGGATGCAGAACAAATCTTAAGAATTAAATGGGACACATTCTATCTGATGGGAAAAACAAAGCTCCTTGAAAAAATAAGGAAGATTAAGTGTTGTTCCTCACAGTTAGTCTCAAGATAAAACAAAAGTCTAATACCGGAAATACCAGATTTTGCTTCATCAAGTGCTTTTTGCATTCCAGGAAAAAAATCATCTTCAGGCAGAAATTTGTTTCCTCTTGAAAAATATCTAATAAGAAATGTTAAGCAGGGAGGGGGAAAAAAAGGAAAAACATGTAAAATGAAAACCTTAATGATGTGATTTGCAAATAAGAACGCTGGGCTATGTATAGACGAGTGACTGGCATGATGCTAGTTCATAGCAATTTCAATCCTTCATTTTCTTAATCCTCTGAGAATAGAATATCCACCTGCATAATGAAACAGCGGACAAGAAAGATTCTCAAAGTAATAACTATCATTTGCAACGTAAGCAAAATGTCTGTATGTTAGTTTTAAGTTAAGACAACATACACATTCAGAGAAAAATTTTATAAATCAAAAGCTTTTAAAGGTCAGCTAATATAGAAAAATGTGGACTGGTTTCCCATGGCTACATATGTAGAACTGTGGGACTAACAATAAACCTGTTTTAAAGCAATTATCACACAGAGAGAGAATCCATATGAAATCTGCAAAATAAACATCTGGATATTTCTAAATATTGAGCATGTCTAGTGATGTGTAAACAGCAACTACTACAGGAACAACAAAAATCCGATGTTTATCTTCATCTAGATTTTAATAATAGGCCATCACCTCTAACTTTCAGCATATTTTTTGGGACACAGCAAATCAAACTTCCCTTATAATATAAAAACTTACCCCAAAACTTCCTCGAGATAAATATGTTGCATTATTTGGCTAGCTTATATTACGTTTATATATTTTTAAATATCTATTGCCTATGTAGTTATTTAACATGAACCAACACATAGTGTCTGGGTTCTATTCCTACTAGCTATGTGCCACAGGCAAGGTACTCTATCACTACAGTTCTCAGTTTTCT